AACCCAGTGAACAGATCATCATCATACAGGACTTTACATTGCTTACTCTTTTTATATTACTTTACTTTTTCTTTAAAAACTTTATAAACTAGTTCTTTCAGTGACTGTCTATATCCATTTCCTTTTGTTTCTTAGGCCTATGTGTATTTTTGAACACATTGTAGCCTGTTTTAATTCCCGTCCTTGTCCTGTGCCATTGCCCATGTCCCTCCCACCCCCACCCCCACCCCCAAGCTGGACCTGTCTTTACTGCGCGTCTCTAGCCTTTTCTGACCCTGTGAACTCAACCTTAAACTTCCAAGCAGCTTTTTGCTGGTGGTCACTTCACCCAGTTGGGTCCCCGAAAGCTGAGCCTTATCCCCTGCTAGCCTGGCCAGAAGCTGCCTTCAAGTGGGGCCCAGTGTAACCACCCCAGCTCTAGGAAGCTGGTGCCCTCACTGTGGTGTGCGGGTGACTCAAGTGCTCCCTTTGTTGCAGAGCTTCCTAAAGGAGCTGTACCATTTTCTTCTCTTCTTCTTCTTCTTCTTCCTCTTTTTCTTTTTTCTTTTTTTCTTTTCCACCTTCCTCAGGCTTCATTTTGGAATGACAAATGTAATAGGCTTTCTTTGGGGCCATCATCCCATTCCCAAATCATGGCACAGGGACTTACTGTTAATGACGAATGCTCAGCCTTATCTTAGCCTTGTTCCTCTAGCTCTTCTGTGTGTCTAGCTGGAGGCTGGCATCTTCCCTCTCCTTCTTGTCCTCTTTATTTTTCCTCTCAAGCCTAGATCCCCTGCCCCCCCCTTCTTCCCGATGCCTGATAGCCCCACCTGTCCCTCTACTTTTTAGCCACTGGCTGTTCAGTTTTTTATTAGACCGAACTGGTACCTTAGGCAGGCAAGCAAAACATGCTGCATATCTTTAAACAAATGTTGCATAAACAAACATAACATACCTTTATATAGTTAAAGTAATATTCTGCAACATAAACAAATGTAACACATTTCTACATAGCTAAAGTAATATTCTACAACAGGATGGACTTTCACACAAAACACACCTGTGTCTGCATGTATTGTGTGAGCAGAACAGGTGAACACAAGAACTCTGTCTAGAGCATGCTGTGAGTGTGCTCTGACCTAGGTGTAGGTCTCCTGTGTCTCCCTGTAAGCTTAGCCATGTAGACTCTGTTTGACTCTGTTCTTGTTGCAGACCTCATGTGTCTCTCTCCCTTTGTCTCTGGCCACAGGGAGTCTACACATAGCTTTCTTTCTTTTTGTTTTTAAGTTTTTATTAGTTCTTATTAGTTATTTGCATCTTTTATACAATGTATTTTTATCATTTTCACCCTTCTCTCCCAATCCTTCCTGATTCTTCCCTTCTTCCTGACTTACACAACTTTGTTTTCCTTTCTTGAGTCCCTGATGTTGATCTAGCATTGACTTCTCAAGGCACGGCCTGTTGTCTGCACCAGGCAATAGGTACCTGGTGCTTGAATAACACATTTGTGCTACCTGGTTTCCTACCTTTTGGGCCTGGTTCTTCAATCAACTTCCTTATCAGTGAGCATCTGTAAAGCCTGCTAGTCAGGTCCTGGCTGGTGACCATGGTCCTAATGGCTTGACCTTATCTTATTTCTCAAGTTCTGGAAACATCACCAATAGGTGGTCCCCAATATTTGGCTGACAAATCTTTTGCACACACAGAGAATACATACTCTTATTGTCTGTATGGATTTCTGTCTTGTTTTGAGTGTGCATCCCACTGTTAACTTAAAGCCACTAATCAGTTTGTTAAAAGGCCTCAGCTTATTTTGCATCTACATGTAATTTTCTCCAGATCACCTAAAGTGATTATCCATTTATAAGATTGTTTGATGAGTACATTCCATATGCTGTCACCTCTGAATAAAAGGTAGAAGCTGAAATTTTTGTTACAAGTCTGATCGTTTAAAATTAAGAAGAGTAGTCAGCTTGATTTGTTTGGTTGCATTTTGTGGTCATGTGCTAAATACTTTACATGAAGAATACATTTCCCCCTATGTTTGATGCTGTTAGCATTTCTAGGTTTTCATCAAAAAGTTATTTGCTCTAAAATACAACTCAACTCTTAATTTCAAATTGGTATTTTATGAAATTTAGAAGTGTAGATAACAGGGCGGTCATAATATAGCCAAACATTAGTAACTGGCCTCCCCAAGTGAAAGCGATGGGTCTGAGGTCTGAAGTCCCTCGGAAGGACCTTCAGTGACCTTCAGACTCGCCCAGGAAGCCAGCCAGTGTCCAGCCTGGGGGTGGGAGGTTGGTTGTTAGTTTAAGTGTAATAATATAAAGAGCTGGTCAGCGGTCAGTGTGTCATGCTTATACTAGCCGTGCTTGGGACAGTTAGCATCAAATCTTTTCAGTGCTTTCTAAATGATTTTAGATAAATCACAATGTCGATTTTCACCAGATGAGTATAATTGTTGACTTTCAGCGCTCAGTGCTATATATATATATATATACACACACACACACACACACACACACACACACACACACACACATACACATACACATACATACATACATACAAACATTTTTTTTTCCCCTGTAAACCGAACTAAAATTTTGGTTCACTTGTAGATATTGTATCCCATTACAGATTTTGTTACATGGTACCTACCTGTTAGGAATTTCTTTGTGGTTGTGGGTTAACACACAAGTATACTTTTGAAACTTTTGAAACAAACTGGAGTTTGTCAGTTTGGAGCCAGAACAATAGCTTAAGTTTTCACTGAAAATATTGAAATTCTTGCACTTATGTGCTCTACCCCCCAAATCTGAACAGATTCAGTATCTTTCCTATTCTCTTTGTTTATCTGCTGCAGTACAAGAGTGTGTCATCTTGTCCTCTCAAGGATCAGTGGCATCTTCCCCATGATTCTTTCTGTGGGGTGCACTTAGCCTACACCATTCTCTAAATGCATACATATTCTTTGTCCAAGAGAGCCGAGAGTCCCATATAGCACTGGACTAATTCAAGCAATTCTAAGTAATTAAAAAGCATGAGGCTCAGAACAACAATGCACTTAAGCTAATTACACTGAGTAGTCATTTTTAGCAACCATCAAATGAGAGAATACAATGAGAGCCTTTAGCAAATGTTAATAGATGACACAACTCTAGCGTCAGGAATTGTGCTATGTATGCTGTGCTTCCTGTTAGTCTTGCATTTCTTTGTTTAATTTGAGTACAGTAAATTACACCAGCCTAGAATCTACATTATTCAGAGTCTGCCTTGGTTTTTAGGACAGGGGTTTTAAGCTTGATGGATCATTCCAGAGTCTTCTCTGACACTTGTTTCTTCTGCTGATGTTAAGTTGCATTGCTGTGGGACTGTGATTACTCACCATCAATGGCAATTTTACATTTTGAAGAAGTTAAATTGGCAAACAGAATAGGAAGAAAATCTTGATCAGTTTATATTTAACACGTAACCTTATTCCTTCAATATTGAAACAATTCTGTGGTGTAAACTTTTATGTGTTAAAGTTTCTGGTAGTATCACCTCATCAAGTATTAATAACCTGCTTGATAAATGCGGTCATCTTGTGTAGGAAGTGGATTATATATAATACTTATATATAATACAGAGACAGCTCTTGTGTAGCTGGGTGAGCTCCGTGCCCTTGTTATCCAGTCACACCTTCCCAGAACGTGGCGTTGCTGTGGTGCTAGCCAGGACTCCAGGCTCGGTGGTCTTTGTGCTGTACACGGCTACTTAGGGCCGTGTGGACCTGCCCTTCTGTTGCTGAAGCAGAAGCCGTAGCTCCATCGCGTGCCATGTGTTATCAGTAGAGTTCCGATGGAGGCAGACAGTAGTACATATTTACCTTGTGGCTCCTAACTTACAGTTTGCTAAGTTTTACATGCTAATCCTCATCTAGGGTTATGTGTATTGGGGGTGTTGAGGTTCTTGTGTATTCCAGGCTGGCCTTGAAGTTAGTAGCTTTCTTCCTCTGCCTCTGAAGTAAAACAGTTTTTATATAATTTTTAAGAGTTAGTTTAGTTAGGATTGTTAATTTCAGTCATTTATTTACATATGTATTTAATGTTTTTCTACTTTGTATTTCAATATCAATAGTTTTAAAATTTAAATTTCAACAGCAAAATTGGGACTATAAAGAGTACAAGTGTAATGTAGATATTCCATGGGTCTCATGGCTCTCAGCCCTTTAACATACAGATCAGCATACATCCCTTTAACATACAGATTGCACATACAGATCAACATACATCCCTTTAACATACAGATTACCACTTTCGTAAGTTTAAAAAGCACTATGTCTGCTTTACCTATAAATGTAGAAAACCAACCTTTTATAGACATCCATTAAAGAAATGAGTAGCTTCTAAATCTGAAATCAAATGTTTTAAAATTTTTGCTTGTTTGCCTTGTTCGTTTTTTTTTTTTTTTTTTTTTTTTTTTTTGTGGTGCTAAGGGTGGGCCCTGGGGCTAGCACAGGATAGCCCAGGGCTCCACTAAGTAGCATCCTGGTCCTCCTGTGTCATTTGATTATGAGCATCTGGAACAACAGTGGGAACACTTCCTGGTCTTACACACACAGCCGGGCCCTCAAGTGCAAGAGCTGGTTCTCCTGGTCCTGTCCTGGTCTGCAGTCCAACTGTGTTCTTTTCGGTTAGGACCGCTGCCTTTGATGCCGTTTTAGTGTGACCTTGTTACTGTTTCAGTAGACAGTAAGGAAAAGCTATATCATTGCCATTTTCAGGAAAAAGAACATACATACATTTTTCAATGTTAGATACAAACAAATTTGTATTGTTTAACAAATCATTTTACTCCTGAGTCCGTTTTAAAAGTTAAGGTTAAGTTTTCTTGAACTAACCAAATCAAATAGGCTGATGAATAAATGTGTGTAAGCACAATCAGTATAATTTATTTTCCATCAAGACAACTAGAAAGTGTTATCTCTGCTTTCAAGTATTGCTATAAGGACCACTTTCCTGTTTTTGCAGGTACTGTAATAGGTGTTGTCATTTATACTGGAAAAGAGACTCGAAGTGTAATGAACACATCCAATCCAAAAAATAAGGTAGGCTAGCTTAAGGAGTGACTGACTGCTCCCGTGAATTTGCCTTTTCCTTTCAGTAAGAAAGTCTATTAGTGCTGTATAGCTCGTTTACGTAGCATCATATATAACATGAAAAGTAGACTCAAGTGTTGGTGACTGTGATGAGCCCTTCCATTTCTATCCATTCTCATCAAGCATCCTCTGCCCCATCCTGATCCTTATATTGGGCAGTTAATTCCTGGTTTCTCATCTTAAGTTTATTTTATAGTTTGTGTTCTTTATGTTGATGGTTTATTTTTAAAATAGTCTACTAATCCTTTATATTACTTACCTTGATACTATCAGTTGTAATATCCGGTTGTTTCTTTCATTTCAAAAGCATATTGAAAGCCTAAAGACTCCTGGTAACACTACTAAAATTATCCCTTATGCAATCAACATGTGTGTATGAGTTAAATCACGACCAAAGTCGGTGTGAATTCTACATATTTGTTGTGTAGCTGATTCATCGTTCATAATGAATTCAGCATATTTAAAAGTACAGTCAAATGAGAAACTCTTACTGTTTAGTTTATGCTTATTTATTTGAAGTATGACATATGTATTTAAATGAAACTAACAGTTCTCACAGATACCTTACTCTGTAGGTTACTAATAGTGATTTGTTTTTGCTGGAAATTTTTCTACTAAGGAGTAGAAATGAAATGCCCTTAAAAATATATGTACATGTCTGGTATGATATAATCCATTTCTTTGGCTAAGAACTATTTTTAAAATGACCCTCCAAATAAAAAAGAAAAGCAAGGCAAGTGTAGTACCTTATGCCTTTAAGTCCGCCATGTAGGAAGCTGAGGCCATCCTGGGCTACCTAGTGGGTTTCATAACAAAGAGCCTGTCTCAGAACCAAATCAAAACAATCAACAGGAAAGCATCACCAGCCCCAGTTCATGGCCCATCTCCACTGCAGTGGATCCCCCTGGTCTTCCCATCTCCACTGCAGTGGATCCCCCTGTGCTTTCTGATATGAGAGGGGACTGCTAGAGGGTGTTCCACAACACTCTGACCAGTTGTAAGTCTCCGAGTAGTTGTGTGTGCCTCTATTTACTAGATAGATAGATAGATAGATAGATAGATAGATAGATAGATAGATAGATACATACATACATACATACATACATACATACATACATACATGATAGATACATAGATAGATAGATAGATAGATAGGTAGATAGATAGATACATAGATACATAGATAGATACATAGATAGATAGACAGACAGACAGAGCTATAGGATGACAGTAATCCAACAGAGAAACGAATGATGAAAGTTTGCATATGTGATAGAATCTTGCCAGATAATTAATTACTATGAATTTTAACTGTGATGATGAGAAATTTTTCTTTAGATTTATTTAAAAATTCTATTCTAGCTATCAAATATACTTTAGTCACTACTTAAACAATAGAACTAAAGTTATGTTAAATTTTCTCAGTATTTCAATTCAGTAAGGTGGTTATAGAATGATGCACATTTATACACGTTTTCAAAGAAGGGTGGTTCTTGTTTCCTCATGAGAACAGATAGAATTTTCTAATGCACATACAACTTCAACAGCTTTTTCTTCATGTTTTCACTTTTCTGTTGCTCGTGATGTTGAAGATAAGTTTAATTTTGAGCAGTAAGTTTATCATCTTAAAAGCTACCTTTTATCAGACTTTTAAATTCCACCTTATTCTCCAGTCAGATTACATCCTGTTGTGTTTTATTATCTATGGTTTATCAACCTTATTCTCCGCACACGTTCCAAGTGACTCGTTATGGTTCAGTTTATGGTCATAATTAAGGACTCCAGCATTTGAGCTTTGTCAGTTAATGAAGAATATAGGTTTTGCCACATAGCAGGTTCTAGGCTTTAAGCAAATGGTTTAATTCTGTATCTTAGTTTTCATATTTGTAAAGTACAGATGATGCCTGCAATGTGGTTGAGAATCAGCTCATTCAAGTATTTCTTTTAATAAAGAACTTGATAACTAACAAGTGCACACTAGATACTGTATTGCTGTTGTTACTACTACTGTTGTTATTACTAATGTTTATTGATAGAGTCTCACTGCATAGCTTTTTGGCTGGTCTGAAACTTTATATATAGACCAGACTGGCCTCCACCTCACAGGGATCACCTGCGCTTCCAGAGTATTGGGGTTAAAGGTGGGCATCACCACACTCAGCTGTGTTCTGTTTCCTAATGTTGTTCTGAAACATGAAATATTTTCAGTCTCAATCCTTGTTTCCAATTTAAAAATTGTTGCTGATTCATATGTAGACATCCTGAGCAGCTGTGACTAAAGAGAAGGCTCAAGGGCTGAACCTCTAAAGGTTCCCATTCAGTTCCCAGCTCTCACAACCATCTGTATGTAACTCTAGTCCAAGGGGATCTGATGCCACCCTGTGTCTCCTAGAGCTGGAGTTAGGGATTGTTGTCAGCCACCACCGGGATGGTGGGAACAAACTGGAGCCCTCTGCAAGAGCATCAAGCACTTCCAGTTAGTGACGCGAGCCCTCCTTCGTGGGGTGGAAATATCGTCGTTCCCTTGCCATTAGGGTGTCCCTGGAGTGTCCCAGGGTTACAGCTCAGTAGAAAAGTGCTCTTTAGCTGTCCCCACCCTGGGCCTGCTTCAGTGCTCAGTCACCTCTGCTTTTAGCCACACTCACAGACGTGACAGCTTAGGTCTGCAGAGCACTTAGTACACTATGGATAGTTCTTAGAATCTTCTCCTAAATTAATTTTAATTTTAAAATTTTATGATTACATAAAATCTAATCTTAATATCATTTTAATGATTTTATATTTCCCCCAAATTTGTGGCTTCTGTGTGCTCACTTCCACCTCAGACATTTCAGGGTCATCTGCACATTCACGTCTGAGTGTGCACATCCACACGGTGGTTCCCTAAAGAAGGTCATGTGCCAGAGAGGCTGACTCCTGGACACCGAGTGCTCGGGGCGGCCCCTCTGTACACCTGAATCCAGGGAGAAAGTGGGCTGGTGGGAGCTGGTGCCCTTCCAGGCAGGGAAGAGATCTGCTGGAATAGCCTCACCAAGAATGGTGCCTGCAGAGTGGGTGGCGGGAGGTGTCAGTGCAAGGAAGCGCTAAGGGAGGCCACTAGGATGGCCGTGTGTTGGAGGGTGTGCAGCCCCCACTGTTGGTAAAGCCATCGACATGGCTGACTGCTTGCACCAACCCTGTCTCCATGTAGGACCTGGAAACGCAAGCTCTTGAGTCAGACTTCTGAGTCAGAAACAAAGGGCTTTGGCCCCCTGTGGGATTCGGGTGTACTCTAAGGTGACTTCTGCTCTGGTCTCTGCCCTGGACTGTGGATGGCAGTTTCTGTCCCGCCCGGTCCTGCAGCCGTTCAGCTTATGTTAATTAGAAACGGTTTGGCCTATTGCTCAGTCTTCTTATTGGCTAGCTCTCTCTTAATTATTAACCCATTCTACTAATCTGTGTTTCTCCACATGGTCTTGGCTTACCAGTGGTGCCTGGACCTCCTGCTTCCTTGGTAGCTGCATGGCGTCTGGCTGGTGACTCTGTCTCTGCCTTACTCTTCCCAGAGTTCTCCTAGTGTGGTAGCCCCGCTATACTTCCTACTAGCCAATCAGCATTTTGTAACACCAATAGAAATGACACATCTTTGCAGTGTACAAGAGCATCATCCCACATCACTAAAAGACCCTGTATCAGTCAGGGTATCTGTAACTAGAGAGATGCTGACTACTCTAACTCTGCTGCATTCTTTATCTGTGTTCTGAAAATCTCTTCTTGTGCTCTAATGCTGTAGCTGGGCAGCAGGCTCTGTCTTATTTCAGGGTTACTAGAGTTCAAAGAGTGCAGTGTTATCATTCATATGCGGATACAGTTGTCTGCTTTTTCTAGACAGAGGAAAATGTTCTCTAATCATAGGGCTTACTCCAGAAATCGACTCTACACATATTTGGAAGTCATAAAACTTTGAACAAATAAAAAGTTTTTATTACTAAGCAACTTTACAGTGAAATTTGGAGAAAGTTTAAATTATAAGGACTCCAACTTGAGTAATGGACTACTTTATAAAACCTAGCCTTAGATGTATTTAATAAGATGATACTTGATTACATTTAAGAGGGAAAATTCTTAGAGAAGGTTAAAGAAAATCAATCGTGACAGGTTGCCATTTTCATGCCGTTCATAATAATAAGTTGCTCAGTGCAAGAGCATCAAGGATGAAATGATAATACAAATTGCTTCCAGCAGTTATTGTAATCCCTCGGGCATATTGATTTGTGTTTCTAATAAAAAGATGCTTTCAGATGTCCCATTGACAGAGAGACAGGTGACATGTGCCATTACGGGAATTGGAGCTGCCTCTCGTTATCTGAATTGTTGCGAAGGCATTTTCAGACAATAGAACAAAATAGAGTCAGCTGCGTGTACATTCCCAGTTGAAATATCAAGACAGTTTTGGAAAATGGCTTTTTTTTTATTTTAAAAAGGACCATATTAATATTTTAAGAGCCCTCTTGATCTATAGTAAAATAATACATTAGAATAGCTTGCTTTTGTCTTTCTTGTATTTGCAAGCCATTGTAGAACCCTTTGTTTTTTTAATAGCTGCTTTCTCGAGTGATATTTTCACTGATCTAGCGTGTGCTGCTCTATCTACTTCACCAAGAGCTGTGTGGGGGACACCGTGTTGCAGCCAGTCTCATGGATAGAGACCTGGATGCCTTCACAATGGTTATTAAAATTAACAAACCACAGTGTTTGAGAATCTCAGCAGGAAGACAAGAGCCATCGTCAAGACAACCATGAGGCCCTCTGGTAGCACATAGACAAGATACCACTCACCTGCTCAGGCTGCACTGGTTGGTACTCAGGTCACCAGCACTGTGCCAGGCACACTGTGGCATCGCAGCCACATTCAGCTTTGTGTGCATTGTGAGCATACACTTACAACTTGAGGAGGAAACATCCCTGAT